AGGAAACCGGAGTACCCGGAGAAAACCCAGGCAGCACGGAGAGAACATGCAAACTCCACCCAGAAAGGCCCCCGGACCAGGATTTGAACCAGAGACCTGCTCGCTGAGAGGCAGCAGCTCTACCAGTTGCGCCACCGTGCTGCGTCCAAAAACATAATCTTTTAAATGTTTACTTTCCTCTGTAACTAGAAATTAAATGAAAGAATAAAAATAAAATAAACTGATTACGTTAAGAGTTGTTACTACAGTTAGGCTTCTAGTTGCAGATTTACATCAGATTTGTTTGGAGCCATATTGTCACCTCACGCCTCACATCAGTCGTTAAAAGAGATTTATCTGACATTTGTTTCCCGAGATTTAGATAATTTATTGATGTAAACATCCAAGAACAATGTGCACAACTCTGCTCATTGTTCCTAAAATCCAGCTTGTATTTGTGTTTGATGACACCTGAAGATAACGAACACCTTGTTCAAGCATAAGGGTGTCCATATGTGCTCTTGGCACCAGGACACCCTAGGCCGCAGTTCGATGATCGACTTTGTCATCGTCTCATCTGATCTGCGTCCACATGTCTTGGACACTCGGGTGAAAAGAGGGGCGGAGCTGTCCACTGATCACTACCTGGTGGTGAGTTGGCTCCTATGGTGGGGGAGGATGCCGGTCAGACCTGGCAGACCCAAACGTATTGTGAGGGTTTGCTGGGAATGTCTGGCAGAGTCTCCTGTGAGACGGAGTTTTAACTCCCACCTCCGGGAGAACTTCGAACATGTTCCGAGGAAGGTGGGGGACATTGAGTCTGAGTGGACCATGTTTCGTGCCTCTATTGTCGAGGCGGCTTACCGGAGCTGCGGCCGCAAGTTTGTCGTGCCTGTCGCGGCAGCAACCTTCGAACCCGATGGTGGACACCGTCGGTGAGGGATGCTGTCTGGCTGAAGAAGGAGTCCTATCGGGCCTTTTTAGCCTGTGGGACCCCGGAAGCAGCTGGTGGGTACCGGCAGTTCAAGCGACATGCGGCTCGGGTAGTCGCTGAGGCAAAAACTCGGGCATGGGAGAAGTTTGGAGAGGCTGTGGAGAATGACTTCCGCACAGCTTCGAGGCGATTCTGGTCCACTATCTGGCGTCTCGGGGGGGGGGGGGGGGGGGGGGGGGG